TGTTTAATAATATACTTATTTAGATGTAAGATGTAAATGTTAAAAAATTGACATTTAAGATTTCAGTAAGATTTGAATTCAAATGATGTAAATATATGCGTAGCAAAATGAAGATGTAACTATATAATGTGATGATTTTCTTGAACCAGTAGTGCTAATCCTGATTTTATGAGTTTTTAAGTACTACCTAAAATTAAATAATTGTAGTTCTATTTAAAAGGGGTTTTCAATCAAAATAAGTGACAAGAAGTAATTAACGATAATTTTAAAAAATAAACGTAAGAATAATTTGCGGTTGGTAACATTTGAAGTTTTGTAACCTTGGTTGAGAGTATTGCAAGACAATCACGCATGCGCTTGGACATGTAGCCACGCGGTAACTAACTAAAAGCGATGAATTGTCGTTGCAATGTTCTTGGCCGGTTTGTACGCTTTTTTTAACGTTAGGAAAACAGGAAAAATCTAACGTGGTAGTAACTTTTTAGTTTGTCCGGTCAACAAATAATATCTTGTTTAATTGTGAGTGAAAAAATAGAGTTAGTTAACACCATGAAGTTATCTATTGGTTCACGATGTGTCAAATATTTGATGTTCGTCTTTAATCTACTCTTCGTTGTGAGTAATCGTTGTTTTTCTTTTAGTAATTTTTCCTTCAATGAATTTTTGGATCTTTTAATGTAGGTTTTACATATGCCTTTTTCAAAGATTTTCCACGTATTTAATTAGTTTTTGCTTTATGCTCGTCTTAATTCACAAGAAACCATAAATTATTGTTTTACATCATAAGCATAAATTACAGTGTTCTGATCATGAGACCATACTGAAAGTACAGTGTAGATTAAGAAGTTATATTCGGATACCTCCATATGCTCTTATTTTGTTTTTTACTTTTTATGTTATAAAGACTCTATACAAATTATAATCTGTTGTTATAATTTTTTTTCATTATGTAAATTGACCCATAAATTAGAAAAAAATTTGTAATATGAAGTGCTTTAGTTTCACAGTAATATCATACTAACCTAAGTACATATAACCTAAATGTTGATATAAATATCGATATAGATTCTTATGGATACTGCTAGTATAATGCAAATGTAACAATGATTAAAATTTAGATTTCAATAGGAATTTAGTAGTTGACAGAAGTTTATTAAAGTGACATGATCTGTTTCTTGTGGATCATTTTATGCGTCATACTTTATCTGATATATCGATACATGCTATATGCGTGCGCATTTGCGCTGTATTGATAAATAAAAATGATTTATATTATTGTCCATTTTGATTTAAAATTTAATCAAAATATACGTAGTTGCAACATGAGTATTTCTATTTAATTGCATTTTGTGTATTTCATTAAATTAGTAATTCTTATATACGTCGATATTATAACGTACAATATAACATAATGTATAATAGTATGAAAAATTTATGTGAGGTAAGAAATATTTATAATGTATAATTATCAAGATTTCGTGTTTTGAATAAAAATTAATAGGTTGATTTAGTTACATTAACACTTAAAATAATAGAAACATCAAATTTTGCCTATATTAACTGATAA